TTCGTTCGCTTGCCTGTTCGTTTGCACGACCAATAGGAATTACTATCAACGGGAGGAAGACTGGGGGTGGTATTTTAACTACCTCTCATAACTTGTTACAAAGTTTCAGATCGAATCGTCTTAAGTAATATCTCTAGCAAGACAACTTGCATATTTCGATCTTTCTATATCTAATTCATATACAAATATCTATATATATATATAAATTATTGGTTTCCTATAGATACGTATTTGAAATAGTAGTTATTAATATCGAAAGGGGAGAGAAATTCTCTCGATGAAATTTCATTGAGATCTACTAATGAGATAGAAGATAATTAACTATGACCAAACAATGCTACTGACAGTCGGTGCATCCTGTCTTAAGTAATAACTCAACCAAGACAAATTGCACATTTCCATGTATCTCTCTCTTTCTTTCTCTCTCACACACACACATTGAATATATCTTATTTATATATATGTAATTATTATTAGTTTCCTATAGATACCTAGTTGACATTTATTAACATTGAAAGGTACGAAATTCCATTGAGACCTAATTAATGAGATAGAAATCATTAACAAGATAATTTACAATGATTTAACAGTGTATTCCGTCCTAACATATTTACTTATCAGCGTCCTAGTTAAAGGTTTTATCTTGGCAGCGTTTATTGGTCGGCGTTCTAAAAATAGATTTTGCGTTGATTTCGGTTATTTCATGATAAAATTTCTCCTGAGAGAAATTCTCCATGAAATTTCATCTATATCTACTAATGAGTAAGAATCTATAATTGTGATAATTTATTATCATTAAACAACACGTATAACTAATTGTATTTCATTCTATACAATACCTCAACCAAAACAACTTATACGTTTTGAAATTCGTTTATCTATTTCATGCACAGATGAATATATATAATAATTAAATAGAATTTATTACTATCAAAAGGATAGAGAAATTCACTATGAAATTCTATCGAGATCTACCGATGCGAGAGAAACCATAAATAGGATAATTCCACCATAACCAAACAACGAATATTACCGTGCATATTCTGTCTTAAGTAATATCTTTACTATTACATACAACATTTCAATGTATTTCTCTCTATCTCTATTTCTATCTATCTTTCCTCTACGAGGAACACAGACGCACATTCGTACATGTATATACATAGATATCAATTATTGGTTTCCCATGCATACTAGAAATTGTATTTGTTAGCATTGAAAATAGAGAAATTCTGTCGATGAAATTTCATCGAGATCAACTAATGAGAGAGAAACCATTAATGCGATAGTTTACCATGTTCAAACAACGAGTATTACTGAGTGTATTCATGTATTAGTATAGTTTCACATCGTAGAAATAATTGATTAGGTATATATGAAATAATATATATGTATATGCAGGTATATCCTTTTGGAAAACATTCCTAGAGAAGAACATGAATTATCGAATGTTTTTATGAAATAAATCGTTTTATCTAACGTAAACCTCAAAGATTAAGTACATGTTTCCTTTACATTAATAAAATAAATAATATATTTATACATACACTTGATCTTATGTAACATAAATGAATGTGAGGTATGTGTCTGTGTGTGTGAGAAAGAAAGAAGAGAAAGAGAAAAATAGATAATCGTTATAATCGTCTAACGTAGAAATTGAAATTCGCAAATCAGTGAATCCAGAGAATATATTTATACAGTCGTGTTTCAAACTTTGTTCCATAAGGAGAACAAGCTTCCTTTGGCAAACAACTTAATGAGATAGCTTCTCAGTTCTATTAAATTTAACAAGAATCAAAGGCCGACAACAGCTATTATCGTGTCTGCAAATTTGCGATTAGCATATCTAATATTATTAGAAGATCCCAAAATATATTATATTATCAAGAAAATTTTAATTGTTTTAATAACAATGATACAATAATGATTAAAAAATTGTATTGTATTATAATAGCTATGCTATGAAAAAATTATAGCATTGATTGATGTCTGTTAGTATGCACAAATGCATTCAATATGTTTGTTTAAAATTCGTTATTCTGAAAAATCTACATTTTTAAATATTCGGAAATAAATTAACTTAATGATAGAATATTGATGTAAAAATTGTATAAGAATATTTATACCATAAAACAATGATAACATTGATTGATTTCAATTAATATGTACGTATGCATAAAGCGCACCGATATTGGAAACACACGCCGACACGTGTTGGTGATCGAAATTTCTAATAAAATTTTGTTATCCTAAGAAATTCATATCTATTAAGTGTTATAAAAATAAAATTAATTTAACTATAGATTATTGATCAAAATAATTTGCTAATAATATTTGTACGATAAAATAATAATAATAGACAAGTGAGAATGATTAAATAATTATTGATTCAAATGAAATCTTTTGAGTAAGACATATGTGGAAAATGTATTAATATAGGAACACATGCAGAGATATATGCGTACGTAATAGAGCCGACAGATGTATCTGACATTTATTGGGCAGCTAACGTGTATTAAATCAGTCTTGGAATTGGATATCTTCCTGAATAAGCTCGATCTGGAAATACGTGAAGCATGGTTAGGAATCACAGTCGGTGTGTGTTCAAGAAGGTTTGAATTTGCACACTTCGCGGTATGTACAATCGTTGTGCATCGTAGTAGCAACAACACAACACAACAGCAACAGCAATAGCAGTTAAAGGAAGAAACAAGTTTAACACTATATACATTCTAGGTTATTCTCTAACCTAGGAAATTCGTACCTATGTATAATTACACGTCTGATTAAACATTATAATTGGAAGTCCGCTGAGATGGAGAATCGTCCGAAACAACGGATTTCCTCGAGCACTATGGCTACGTACAAGCATATGACTGTGTCACATATGTGTTCAACATAGACACTAAAACATCTATGCGCAAATCTCAAGAGAATCTAAATACGCGTCGAGTTTACATTTTCCATCAACTCGTATTCTTGACAAACTTTTTACAACATTACAAATTAAAAAAAAAAAGAAAAAAAATACCATGATCTTTTAAAAAATAAAAAAAAATTTTTTAATCATATTTAGAAAAAGATTAGTCTTGTATAACCGCAACAAGGAAAAGAAAATTATAAAAATATCGTTCATCGTTTCATCATAAATTCGATCTTTGAATTTTTCTCTTTACAATTTATCTCTCGTTTATTTCCATTCTTTTTTTTTCAAATTTTATTACGTAAAAATATAAGAGAAAAAGACTTTTCAATTTGATTTTTAATTTATGTCGAATTTCAAACAGAGGAGGGTGTTCACTTTTTCAAATTGGCCAATGTAAATCTCTCCTCTACACGAGAATATCAAACACACTCGACGTACATATCTCAATAATTCTGTTTGCAGAACTCCCGTTTTCACGTTGATGGATGTAACGAATACTGAGCTTTATTCTATTTACCCTTATCACTAAATAAATGTTATTTCGATAATTTATCGAGTATGTTAGAACATTAGACAAAATAGACAAAATATAAACGATATATAATATTTTCTATTGTTTTATATTTTTATATTTATGATTATAATTTATTATAAGAAAAAAAAATTAGTTGATCATAATTGTGATATTTGTTAGTTATACAATAAATTTATCGTAAAATAAAAATTGTACGTTTGAAGAAACATTGTATAATTATTAACGTGAAATATCTTAAAGACGATTGAAAGGAATCGAATGATTTATTCGAACTTAAATCAAATAATCAAAATTGAGTGGTGGTTTTCCCATCATGGTTCGTTAGAAATTAACAAATTATGGCATGGGTACAAAGGCAATCGTTTTGGCCCGATGACTTCGGCAAACCACACGTACTCTCTCGGAACATGACAGGAAATCCAATTGAATAGAGAGCTGTGATTAGCGAATGGAAATGGTTCGTATGCATAGCAAACACCCTTCAACCAGTACTATCTCTATGGGAACTCGTTATAGATTCAATGCTAACCAAGAGAGAGAGAGAGAAAGAGAGAAAGAACTTTCACATGCATGGACCTTTTTGCTGTGAAAACTTTCCAGCGTTTGATGTTTTGCTCGAATAAAAACCCAAATTCGTTAAACGAATGTGTAGTCGTTTAAAATCATGACGTTTACAATATTCCATAAAAAAGAAAAAAAAGAATTCCGTCCGATTAAATTATTTATATAAAAATGGATTGTGACACCAGTTTTATTTCTAAACGTATATCAATTGGCATCGAAAGAACCGTCAGCATCGATAAACCCGTTTCAATTGTCGATCTATCAAAAATGTAACTTACGAATCATAGATGAGAAAGTTACTCCAAATGTTTCAACATCGCAATACTCGTTTTTTGATATTAATCTTGTTCTTTTCGCGGAACCACTTCGTTATCGTTCGCTGCTGACTGTGTACAATTTAATTTATCAATTTCAACGGCTAACTATGTAATACGTTACCTATCTCTCTCTCCAGTTTCATTCTTTCTTTCTCTCTCTCTTTCTCTCTCTCTCTCTCTCTCTCTCTCTCTCTCTATCTATCTCTCTTTCTTTTACGCGGGTACACTCACGTTCTCACGTTCACTCAACCCATTCAATGGAAAAATATTCTACCGTGGTTTCGTTTACAATGAAATAAAATGCAGGCGTGCCATTTATGTGCACATCTCTCTTTCTCTTTCTCTCTTTCTCTCAGTAATTCTCAATTAATATCACAAAACACGTAACAATGGTATCGCTCGTAAACAACCTTATCGTACCTACGTGAATTAACCGTAAAAACGCGCAGAGGATATTACGATTTTTTAATAATATCATTTTATAGTATTCAATAAATTCTAGGACCTAAAAAAAAAAAAGAAATTGAAAATGCATTCGAAAAATAGGCTATTAAAGGGTAATGGGTGATATAAGATTATTTAAGAATAATATTAAAAAATTTTAATACCTTGTGTTGAAATGGAAATTTATTATTATTTTTCTTTTTTTGTGTTTCAGAAAAAAAAAACGAAGAGAATGGAGCAAGTTCCTGAAGGTTGAGAGAGAACGACATTGTATTAAAGGAAGAGAGATAGAAAGAGAGAAAGAGAAAGAGAGAGAGAGAGAAAAACACGAATGAGAGGATCATCGATAATGACAAGTTGGATAATGCAGCCGACCGCCTCAACTCTCGGCATAATCGCCATCATTTTCATCATGATCACTGCCACGGCATCAGGTATACATTTCATTAAAATTTTTTTAATAATAATAATTTTATTGTTATCCTATGAATTGTTGTTTCTAAAATATTATCTCATTTTTTATTTACGTAACTACCTTGTATATATAGCTCTGTTTATAATTAATTTAATTTTAAATATTTATATTATATTCATCATAAAGTACCGCTACGTTTGATTTTTGATTCGCAATTTCTAAAATGTATCATCAATACTTTTTCTTACAACGATCGTAGTAGCATTCAATATCGTTCAATAATTTTTTCTATATAACTTTTTATCAGATTTATTTACACGTACAATTAATTCATATTGCAAATATTAATTAAGTTTTATTCATCATTCCAAGATTAATTGTTTATTTCTTCTTTTTTTTATTCATTTGTAAGAATGTTTTCTTTTTTATCAGATTTGTATTTACAAGAATAATTAATTTATTACAAATTCGTTGATTCTCAGTATCCGAATTGTGATACATAATTTTCATATTTATATTGGACATATTTTTTTTCTTTTTAGAGAGAAGGGGAAAGAAGAGCTTATATCTCATCTAAAATCAAAGCATAAACAGTTAAATTCTCTAATAACAGATCCAGCTAGAAATACCGCATGATTCTTGGAATTAACACGAACAGATCCAAGAGAGAACACATTGTAGACTCTCGCATAATAGTAGACTTTCTCGAAATTGTCCTTTCTCACGTTTTGATAATCCTGTACGTTGTTAGAGCATTTACGTGTTTAAGCGTTTCCGAGAGAGTTCAAGTAAACACATGCTTGCACTCGAAGCTTATTGCTTAACGCGTTAAACGCTTATATTATATATTTTTTATTCGAATTTAATTTGTACGACTTATTTTTAATATTAACCAAAATGTAACGTCTCATTTCACATTAAAGTGGACAATTTTTTCAAAAAATTTAAATTTTCTAGAAACATGTTAACTTGATATGACTCTTTTATGTGTTATATCTACTCATCGTCCAAGTCATTCCCAATGGAGTATAAAGAGAGAAAGAGAAAAAAAGAAAGATGAAGAAAAAGATACAGAACATGGTAGAAACAGGCAGAATGTTATTAGTACTCATCTGATACATTCTTTTTTCACATACACTTTAACTAGTCTCGTTCTGTCTCCATCGTACTGTCCATTTTCGTCATTTAAAGCAGTTCCGAGAGAATTCAACTATACACATATATATATAAACGTACACTACCAGTCAAAAGTTTAAAAATCCCTACGCAAAAGTCCTAGAAACTGGATATTTATAAAAAAAAAAAAAAAGAATGAACACCTTCATACTAAACAAGGTAGATTTATTTGTCAGAAACAACTCATGAGTAGTGTGTTTTACACTTTGTATTATTTTTTTCATCAACGAACCAGTGTATTTTTGCCCTTTCAAACAAATTGCCCTTCCATCCAAAAATACCACCTTTATTTTTAATAACAGTCTGTCATATTTTACGCATCTTAACAATTATTTTTGCGAATATTTTACTATGCTTCTTATAAAAGTTACCCTAAAAGTAGAAAAGTTAATTTTGACCATGAGTGATTATTTGAAACTGAATGTATGAACTGTACAAAAGCATTATCGTAACGAGAAAATTCTTACAATCTCCTAAAACATAATTTCAATTATTAATATCTGATATAACAACGATAGATCGTTTTAAAAATAATCGGTGTATTGAATTTTGACAAAAATTAGCCAAGAAATTTCAAACTTTTAGCCGGAAGTGTATATGTAATTTAGAATCACGACTACCTATATACTAATCACCCCCCTCCCCTGATCCCCTTTTTCTCTTTCTATCTCATTTTGTCTCTCTCTTTCTCTCTGTCTGTCAGTCTTTCTCTTTATCTTTCTACTATTTCTCTGAGAAACCTAATTCTTCGTCCTATGTAGCAAGTAATGCTTGTAATTCGGTCCCTCTCATTCTCATTTAAAACTCGCAGTACTTCATCTTCACGTTCATTTACATCGTCCGTGATTTCGAAAGTATCTACTTGCTGCGACTCATTCAACTTTACTCACCCACGTTTCATTTCTCTCGAATTTATTCTTATCTCGTTTATTTTACACTTTGATATTTTGACATTGTCGTTAATTAATAAAAAGTTATTTATATTGTATATATCTGTGTGCTTTTTTTAAATTTTTTTTTTTTTAGGGGGAGGTAATTACATTTGCTTTTTGAAAAAAGAGGTATTTAATTTTCAATTAATTACGAAATTATCTACATATAATAATAAATAAAAAACATAAAATATAATGAATAATCATACATTTCAACTATTATAATATTATAATTAATAAATACTTATCGCGTTGAAAATATTTTTCTCAACGATTTTCTTCTTACAAAATTAAGAAACTGATACTATTTAATTAGACAAAAACGATAAATAAATCTTAGTTATATGTGTAAATGAAATATTTTACTCAATTCAAAGTTATTGTCATTCAAGTTACGTAACAAGATGTCCGTTAGCACGAACCTATGTACGCATGCACATATATGTACATCCTCATACCCAAGTAACGTAACATGCCTAATAATAGCTTATTGTACCTATATTATCAAGTAAACTCGAGACAAGAACGGAACAGATCTTTTCGAATATCGTGAATTTTAGGAAGATAGAATGTTTGCTTGTGTCTCCGTTCGTTCAACCTCCCTTCCTTCGTCCCTGCATCCTTGCATCCCTGTATCCCTTCTTCCTTCACTCCTTTCTTCCCCCTTCTCCACCCAAACCCCATCTTCGAACCTCCTATCTCATTTCTCCCTGCGGAATATCCTTGGCAAACTTTCATCGAACTATACGAACAACGAAATTATTATACGAGCTTGCTTGAGAACAAAACGATCGATCGGTGTGCTGCTACGCTTCACTGTATATTACCGACAACCTCCTTCTGCTTTTCATCGAGACGAATAACGCCCTTTACTCCCTTTCATTTCTTTCCTTCCTTCAATCCCACTTCACATCCCTCTTTCATCTTCACATTTTATCTTCTTCTACTTTTTTCCAATCTAACACTTTTTTTGTCTAAACACATTTAAACCTCAAACTTATTTAATTAGAATATTTGCAAATTTTTAAATGTTTGAGGTTAATGAAAAAATTATTTAAGGGATTAAGAAATTATTATTAAAATATTTTATTTTATTATTTAATGTAACAAATATATATATAATTCTTTTTATATAATTAAAATAAACATTCTTTATTATTATCTTAATATAATAACATATAAATTATTTAATGTAATTAATAGAAATTAATTCGTTTAAAGGTTACTGAGAAACGCCCCTGTCCCATATATTAGTATACCGTACAAGGCTCATGCATATTACAAAGTAAAGCAAATACGTCAATTAATTCGGTTTTTTTTTTTTTAGTTTTTATTAAATATATGTTCTTGCAGATAGTTTAAATCGGATGACACTAAACTTTTGCTAATTGTTTCAATATATTTACATATTTATACTTGATCGGTTAAAAATCAAAATATCCTTTTCTCAAGTGGTTACTATAATTCTCATATTAGATGCTTATCACTTCAAGCAAATACAGTTCGTCATCGGTAAATATCCCTATGCAAAGGTTAGTATGTCGTGGATTCGCGTGTTAGATTAATCCCATTTCCATCGATCCCAAAGTCATGTTAAATATTATATAACCAACGACAACGATAATTCTCGATCCTTTGAGCTTCACATAGCCGGGATTTCGAATGATTTTGATCCTAGTTTCGATTAAATTCTATTCATACGATTAGGTGTATACGTTTAGTACCTATGTTTGCTCGAATCAATCTGCGTTAAGAATATTTATCATAGTGTGCTTCTGTTAAAGAGAAAATTCAATTTCAAGAGAGGATATATTTTTCAAAATTTCAAATACACAAATTTTATATAATCGTTTACTATTACAAATATTTAGTGCATGAATTTAATATAATTGCAATATTCTCGTATATAAAATTGTAAATAAAAATAATCATTTCGAAGAAGGATTTGAATGATTTAGTTCAAGATCTAATTGTAAATATATAATTCATGAGTATTGAATAACAAATATCTCAATGGATAAAAGAAATAGCTTCAATTTACGAGAGTAATTTTCTTGTTTGAATAGACAATGTTAAAGCTTGGCTCGATCATCATCCAGAAATCCTATCTTTTAGGAGAAACATTAGAATTCAGACATACACGATATTATTCACTCGCGTAAATAGCTTGGCCATTGCCAAATATGGTCCAATATATCAGTGAGTCGATGAACGGTGTCGGCTACAAGTACAATCACGTGCGATGATCCTTGATAAACGTGCGAATTCAAGCGAATCGTGTGTTTTAGATGTGCTAATTTACGTTTCGAATACTCCTACAACATTTTCTAATCTAAACTATGTTCCGTTAATTCATTAGAATATAAGAATGTCAAATAAAATTGATTTATAATTTTGTTTAATTATGTTTCGTTAATTCAATAGAATATAATAATGTAAAAAAAATATTGATTTATAGTTTTATGTAAATTACTTATATTTGATATTAATTTGCTTTTTTATTTATGTTAACGAACACGCCTTGACCGATTCACATGTTACATAGTATAAATGATCACAGTAAAAAATCTTATTCTAATAATAATACTGTCAGATCGTTGCAAGATTATAATGTCTTGATTATATGTTTGAGAACTCGATAGTTTCTTATTCAAAAAATTGTAAGCTTCTTGGTCGAAGGCTCTTGGATTTTCGTTTGACGATTTGTAGCTTCTTGTTCGAAGTCTTGTACAAATTCTTCGGTAGTACCTTTTGCTACTTTCAGAAATCTTCTTGCACGAAGAAGGATTGCGTACGAGCGAATATACAATTTTCAAGACAAATGTAGGATAGCTAAAAAATATGAGAGGGGAAAAACTTTCCCTTAAAACTTTATTTGGAGAAAATTAATCATAAGTGTATCTGGTTTTTTTTTGTACAGGATACTAAAAAATAAATGAGCGTGAGATGACTAAACAAAAAACAACAATTTCACCAATAAATCTTACAATTAGTAAACCCTTGTCAGTTTTTGTTTAAAAATTGTACGAAAGTTTGTTTTTCAAAAAAATTAGTTGAATTATATACTTTAACGGTAACATATGTATATAAAAATATATATACGTTATATGATGATAGAAATATATCTTATTAAAATAAAGTATAAACAAAAATATGTACAATATAGATGTGTAAAAGCTTACAAACATTTATATATATAGATAGATAGATAGATATATATAAGATAAGAAATATTGTGATCGATGAAGCAGCGAAGCATGAAAGTCTCGAATATATGGGCGTTGTGACAGGTCCTCGTACAAGTCCATATTTCATCTTGTATTCCTTGGTGCAGCAGCATTTTCCACTCGAATCAACTAAACTAAACAATAACTCGAGTCACGTAGAACGTATCTCACCACCTGTTTTGTCGAAACACGAAGGAGAAAGCCTTTCTCCATACGTATCACATGCATAAATATGCACTTAGGTTTGATATACTTTCAAGTATATATATATATATATATGTGCATGCATCTAACATTATAAACGTAGTCGTCTGTTTTTATCTAAAGAATATCTTTTACATCTATACATAATTCATTATTATAAATATGTACAAATGAAAAAAGATATGTGCACAAAACTTTTAATGGACAAACACCATACTCAAATTACTATTGAAACATTTAATAAATTCGATACAATTACTCCAACCATAAACTTATTTTACACGTTTCTGTATATTTACAATACTACTATAACGTATCTATTATAATTATTATCGTTCCATGTAATTAATTTGGTAGATTTCCTTGATCACTAAATTCTATCGTCGACTCGTTTTACGTGTTTCCATTTATAATAGTTAGCAAGTTTCTCATGTTTCTAATTACTTTAGTTCTATACAATTATCATTTGCTATTTACCATAACACTAAATTTTACTACCTCAAATCATTTTACGGTTTTCTGTTTGAGTGTTATGTTTCTAACGTTCATAATTAATAACTTATCAGTATTGTATTTCAATTAAATAATAATAATAACAATAATATGTGATTAATATATAATTAATTATATATGAACATGTTTATTTGGTAATAGTATTTTTTCAATATAACGATATGATCATTAACGTTCGAAAATACACGAAAATTTAGAAAGAATATTGACATACATATTATTCGAATCGTACCATCCTATATGGACAATTTAAATTTGTTTGGTTAGTTAATGGGGGAGTGAAGGAAAGATAGCATTAGTGTTAGTACTATTCGTCCTAGTAATAGTAGGGATAATGTTTTACAAGCTCGAAAAGCGAATAAATATTTATCTCTTGAAAATAGGAAAGGTAGTACGTAATAACGGAAGTAACATGCACGTAGCTGGGTATTAAAGCGTACCTGATATACATATGTAATCCTCAGGTGTGTAAAATATGTATATAGGACGTAGATTTAATAATAGTAAACACAACACACACACAAGAAAAGAGAAAGAAAGGAAGGGGGAAAGAGAAAGTTCTACTTGCTAACAAGTTGGAAATAATGTAGCTCGTTTAATTTCACGTCGATAATGATGTTTTTTTTTCTTTCCATTTTGCTTTTTTTTTGTTCCTCTTTTTTTTCTTTTTTAACCATATTTCCTGCTTTTAACGTAAATTACAAAATTTAGCTTACAGAACATAATTATACGAATATTTTTTCTTTTTCCTTTTTCTCGTTAATAAATAAATTATGTTCATTATTAATTGCAACCGAGTTAGGTAGAAATTAACACGAATCCTAACAAAAAAAAAAGAAATGAGATCTAATGATTCGGTGATTTTTTATCTTGCATAAAATGGCTGAACAAAATTTTAAATAAAATCAACTATGTCTCTCTCTCTCTCTCTCTCTCTCTCTCTCTCTCTCTCTCTCTCTCTCTAATTAATAAGCAATTAAAAAAAAATATAACTAGAAATTAAATTATATTATTTTATTTATTTTATTTTTAAATAAAAATCTTTAAACTACATATATCTATTAGGTCAGATTTAATAATTTCACATAGTTTTTCCAAAATAAATAAAAGATCAAAGTTGACTTATTGACCAAACCAATAATTTCATATATCGTTGAAAATTGATATCTTTCTACTTAACTCAACTCAATCGTAAGATCCTTAAAAGTATTTTATTTGATATATTTGATATGAAACGATACACATAAGTAAATACATACACACACACATATATTTATATAAAGAGATAGAGTAAAGAACGATAAGATATTCCCATAATATATAAATCGCCTTTTAATTCTATTTATCCAACTTTCACTTCAAAAAGGAAATATTTTGAGTGAAAACCATTCTTTAACCACTGCTCAGATATATATACACACACAGACAGACATACAAACATATATATTACGTAGACTACTCGCAGTTGTGCTTGATTAGTTGGTGGTCTACGTGGGTATTAGGGGTGAAAGATGGGGTGGGTTGTAAGAGGATGAAAGTGGTGGAGTGAGAGGTCTGGATAAAAGTTTCGGCATTCATTTTCTTATCTGGCTTCTTCTTCCATGCTAACTTCAATCGCGATTGAAACCTTAAATATCTGGAGCGTGTACGCGTACCTTTTTCCCCTCCCTCTCTTATTCCCTCTCTCTCTCTCTTTCTCTCTCTCTCTCTCTCTCTTATTTAAAATTATTCCGTTGCCAAGTTCTTCTTTTCTTTATTCGCGTTGAAGAAAAGTTGGATAAAAATTTACTGATGAGTAAAAATCTGTACATTTTCTTGATTCTTCTCTTCTATCTCCGTTTTTTTTTTATATCTTTTATCAATGTAAATGAAAATAAATGTAGAGAGAAAAAAGGGAGAGAGAGAGAGAGAGAGAGAGAGAGAGAGAGAGAGAGAGTGAGATGCATCCGGTAAAAAGGCAAACGTCCCCATTTTAGCATTTTTCTTTAGAATAAGACTTACATTAGATATTACTTAGAAATATGGTGGATATCTAGAAAATCCTTAAAAATACGTACCCGTAGAATTCCGTGTTTGACTAGGATTTTTACGCTCAGAATAATTTTGTTTTGTCGAAATGGAACGAATTTTACGACTTTCTTATTCTCCTAATTTACCAATAATACAATAGTCTGTCTCTTACACTTATCGATTTTTTACTGACTCCAAATACCAGTGTTTTTTTTCGATTATATCTCAAAAACGTACTTACATTATAAGAAATAGTCAAGCGTGTTGAGAAGGTGTATGCATATATGCATGTATGCAAGTATGTATGTACGTTGGGTTGGTATACTGTGGACGAAAGATTTATTCCGGTTTACCAGAAACTCAAAGGGTACATTTGCAAGACGATGAAAGGTCGTTGGCTCGTTCCTGCTAGCTGTAGTAAACCTGTACGTTTACGTTTTTCTTCTTTTTTTGCTTTTTTATTTCTCGTCCAAATATCGACATTTCTTCTTCTTCCCAACCGTTTGAGAAATAAATCGAAATACCTTTACCGTGCAATATCCTTGGTGTACTATTCTTTTTTTTCTTGTTTTTTTTCCCCTCGAAGAAAGAAGCAAAATACCTGAATGGAAATCGAGAAATCGAGCTGGTTATACTTTTATACGTTTAATCTAATATTACGTACACATTTTACTTTCCGTTTCACACGATTTAATTCAACATATCCTTATCAAAAAAGGAGACTTATATAGGAGATAACAAAATTTTTTTTATAGAGAATAAAAACAGAGATACATATACACAAAATACATGAAGACTTACAATCGGTTTTTCACTGACGTTCTGAAAGGTCTTCTTGTTCTTCTTCTTCTTCTTCTTCGTATACTTTATTATTTTTTTATTTTCAGGAAGAAGAAAAAGAAGAAGAAGTTCTAAAAAGTCTTCTATTTAATTACTGATCAGTGAAGAAATAAAAAAATATATTTAAAAGTTCTGTTAAATCTTCTAAAAATTAGTGAAAACAACATTTTATTTATTCACAAGATCTTAGATAGGTGAACAATATTTTCTTTCGATCTGAGAGAAAAAATGAAGTAGTCAAGAAATGAGAAGTAGTATTCCCAAATCGATCATTTCTCATCCCTTGAAGCGATGACTTCGATCACGAGCAGACATAAAGATCCTCCTGGTAAGGACTTTTTTCCGTTGAACACGTCGAACGAGCTGACATGACGGACGAGCAATGGCCATCTCTCTTCTTCTCAACGATTACTCCTTTCACTCACTCACTTTACTCACTCACTCACTCACTCAATCACTTTTGCTCTCTCTTTCTCTCTCTCTCTCTCTCTCTCTCTTTCTCTCTTTCTAATTCTTTCTATCTATCTATAAATCTGTCTGTCTCACTTTTCGGCTACTAGCCACCCCAACAAGCAATAGGAATTTAAAAGAAAGAGAAGAATAATCTAACTGTTTACTCCGATATCTCTCTTTCTCTCTTTCTATTTGCAGAAGTCGAGAACGGTGGCGCCATCGGGCTTGATATCAATCATCCTGAAGCCAGGAACACGGATGAAGATCATCGACATTTTCCGAGTAATATAAGGAATATTAGGAATAACAACAGCAACAACAATAGTAATAACAATAACAATAACAATAACAAAAACAACAACAACACTAAAGATAAAGAGAACAACAATTTGGCTGGAAATAAAATAAGTGTTAATTCTACGATAAGTTTATCTTATCCAAAGAAAAAGAGAAAATTAGAGCTAACAACGTTATCCTTTACGATGACGACTATCGTTAACAGGAATAATATTACTGGAGAGGAAACGAGAACCGACATTCTCGAAGATGAGAATATCGAACTGAGAATTCAAAGGGACGAAAACAAGGGCCAAGCTATAGTCAGGATTCAGGATGATCTAACGCAGGACCCAGCCTCGACGATCAATCCTCTGAGATCCCATCAAAGGGTACCAAGTGACGTCACTACGTCCAGGGATTTCTCGATAGTTGGTTCAAGCATCGAAAGCCGACCGGAAACCAATGTCACAGTTAAGGCTACGTTCCTGGAAGTTCTACAACAGGATCCCTCGACGAGTAGTAGGAGTAGTAATAGTAATAGTAGTAGTAGTAGTAGTAGTAGTAGTAGTAGTAGTAGTAGTGGTGGTGGTGGTGGCGGTGGTGGTGGTGGTAGTAATAGAAACACCAGCAACAGGAACGACGTCGAGTCATCGTCGTCCTCGTCCTTGTCCTCTTCGAGTAACGTCAGATCGAACGAGCTTCATCGATCTTCAGGTTTACAGTTACGCTTAGAGAACGAGCTTGATCAAGAACACGATCATGGACGTTTGGAATCATTTAGCGTACGTACGATCGATTCACCGGTCTCGGTACTTCGTGTTACCGAATCGATCGAACGCAAGGATCTGAATGACATCAAAGCGATATCCTTTCAAGTTCCAAAGCCAGAATTACTAGAAGAAGTAACAAACGATAATGAGAAAGTACACGATAGGTTGGACACTTATGGTAAATCTGTTCGAAGTAACGTTGCCAGTGATTCAGTGGGAATCGACGATCCTGTTAAAATGCCCACCGAAACTAGAAAGGATCATCCTAGGGTGATGAACGAACTGTTGATACCTGGTAGCGAGAAATCGACCAAAGCTTTCTACGAGATCAAACCATCGGTTAAAACAGAAGTTGAAAGAGTTAATGATAGTAGTCGTCATCAATCGATACTTACTACTACTCAAAAAACTTTGTTGGGTGGAAAATTTGTTTTACCGAGCGTTGAAAGTGCTATAGGAAAATTTGGACCTTATTTTATTGATGGTGATCAAGAAATTAACGTCACTGCCAGGATCGGTACCACTATTAACCTTGACTGCAAGATTGGCTTACTTGGTAATAAACAGGTAAGAATTTCATTATTTTTGATATTTCTTAAATATATAAATTATATAGTATATAAATTAGCGATTAATCATTAACATTTATATATTATACCTATGTAAAATATATAGGAGAAAAAAAATGATCTAACCATAGATTAGGCCGATAAAGAAAAAAATATAGTCGAACGTTAATATAGAAAGCTTATTACCGAAAGTAAATCCATCAGCTAAGCTCCAATATCGGAGTATGTGTATATCATTTCCGTTATCAGATTAAACGGTTGTACGCGAATCGATCGAGGTCCGTGTTTCCGTTCTCTCATGCAAATCGCAACTACGTGGGATTCGTGGGTGAACGTTGGCTTCGATCGTGATTAGCCTTAATCGAAACGCGAAAGAACAACGGAACTAATCTACCGGGGTTGCCCAATTCCAGAATCTAGCCACGAATACTGAATGATTTCATTCGTTATACCGCGGAAAGAGAAGACGTATATAGAACATAAAATGTTTTCGAGGAATTGATAAAAAGTACAAAGACAGAAAAACAGCAACAAACTCGTAAAATCAAATTTCTCTCAAAAAAGTTATCCCATATCCAGAGTTTTGTTTTTTATTGAACGGTTTTAATACTTTATATGAAAATATAAAAAATAAATTGTATGATACATCTATTATATTTTTATTTTTTATTTTTTATCGAAATACTTTTCAATATTTTATAGTCTTTTTTTATATTAAAAAATATGATCTAACCAACTAATAAATCAAATTATATGAATAATCAAATGAAATAATATAAAATAAAAAAACGATAAGAACGAGTTAATGCTATAAAGAGATATCATAATTGAAAACACTTGTTAGTTAATCTTCATCTCCTTTTCTTTATCTTTTATTTTACGGATATTCACGTGCACATTTTGTCAGCAAAAAACTTTCATTTCAATCAGTGCCTCTTCCTGGTGTCTCTTTCTCGACTTTGAAAAACCCCGCCCTTATAGTTTATTCTCTCTCTCTCTCTCTCTCTCTCTCTCTCTCTTTCTTTTTCTTTTTCTTCCTCTTTTTCCTCCTTTTTCTTTTTCTCTCTCTTTCTCATAGATTCTCGTGGGCCAGAGGTACGGTACGAAGTCGCTTGAAATTCCTCAGGGATTCATATTCTCCGGAATACGTAATGTGAAACCGATTGTGGCGTTCGGCCGTGCCAAGGAACGAAAACGAGTGCTTCCGATTCTACCTTGGATATCCGTAATATATATAGATATAGATTTATATATATGATATACATACATATATAATATATATGTATATGATGTATATATATATGAGTATATATCGATACCCTTCAAGAATAGCAAATGACTGGAGACCTCTACGAAAATAACCAACTTTATTACGAATCATCCATCTCCTTCTAAAAATGACCGATATTAGGAAAATAAATTAGGCTAATGTGTTATTAAAAAAAAATATATATATATATTTTATAATCTTTTATACGATAATCATAACAGATCAAATTTTGGAAATTTCATTGACATTGATTGTATCTAAATTAGCTTTTAAAGATTAATAATTTTATATATATTTCTGTGTCACATCTCAAATATTGATTTGTACTACTGAAAATATGCACAACGTAAAATATTCTTCAATTTTTAAATAAAATATAGAAAATATAACATCTATTTTAATTTAGATATATAAAAAGAATATGCAATTATTTCCATGACGAGTAATAGTAAATAATTTTAGATAATTGTGCTTTTTTAAAAATTGTTTTCATTAGTGTGTCTGGGAAACCTTGACTCTCACTACTGTTACCGTGAAATATTGGCTCTTACTACTAACGATACAAAAAATGTACCGTTGGTTTACCCTGTTTAAATCTACGCCACCACGATGAACAGAAATAAAACTAAAAAGATAGAAATCCTTGAAGTCGACGATATACGTATCCCGTCGACTAAATTCGAGTCTCGAAAGTGACAGAGTTTAAATTCTCGGAGAAGTTGCTTACCTACCTACCCTCCCATGAAACTTTGACCTCGCATATTCTCTCTCTCTCTTTCTCTCTCTCTCTTTCTCTCTCTCTCTCTCTCTCTCTCTCTCTCTTTCAGCAAGCAAGCAAGCAACCATCCAAGCACGAGTGTCGAAGACTAATGTCGCGCGGCTGAAAACTAACTTCGTAACTAACGACTCAACCGTTCCTAGGAAACTCTACTTTTATTCGCGAACGTTTGATAAACTCTAGATCGAGCCAAAATGATCCTGTTCGTGAGAAACTCTTCTTGTTTTGTACTATTCACAGAAAGGGACTCTAACCCTTATCCGAAGAATATGTGTTTGAACAAGTATTTAAATAATTACGTTCACTTTTATTATGCAACATATACTTATTGTTAGTAATTAATCGTTATCAATCCAAATGAATTATAGAAAAACAATGTTATCTTATTTATCGTATAATATTTATTAAATAAATCTTTTTTCAATTATTCAAACAAAAATAATCATCTTAAATTGAAATGTTTGTTAGGTTACTTGGGTGCAACAACACTTGGATTCCTTCCGACTATTAACCGTTGGCAAAATTCCATACAGTATTGATGAAAGGATCAATCTTCATTTTCGGTAAGTTGAACTCTCTCTCATCTTTTTAACAATCTCCAAAATATTAGAAACATATTTCGATTACCTTATCGTCATATTCGATTATCCCTCTTTTCTGTCTCCTTCTTCTTCTTTTTCTTTTTTATAAAATGGAGAAACAAACAAATGTTAATAGACATAATATTTCGAAAAAAAAATTGAATTACACAAAGAATGAAGGTGATTTATATCGTGGTTGAAAGCATGATTTTTTTTTTCTACACCTAACAAGAAATCATTTTTTATATTTTCTCCTTTTCTCTTTTATACTTTCTTTTTCCATTCTTTATTTCTTACCCTAGTACGAAACGAAATCAAGGACTTTATGTGCCATGAAAATCAAACGTTCTCGTAAGTTGGTTCCCCGTGACGACAAAACCATCGTCTCATAGTAACCAAGCCACCACAACGATGACGATCCCATTCCCGTTTGTTGTCTCTCTTCTCTTTTCCTTTATTTTTCTCTTTGCCTCTCTTTCTCTCTTTCTTTCACTTGACTGAGAAAGGAAATGAAGTTTTCCCTTCTTTTGATCCTACTAGGTACCCAAGTAACTGGAAATTGCAGATCCTGTATGCTTTGCCAAGGGATTCCGGACTATACAAGTGCCAAGTATCTACTCACCCACCTCTTGTGAAAAAAATTAACGTTATCGTCACAGGTAAGAAAAGTAAGAGTTATCTTCCCTAGCTTTTTCTCCTCTATTTCTTCTTTCTTTTTCATTTTTATTTCTTTTCTTTATTATACCATGCTTCATTTACATGTATATTATATTATAGTTTATAAAGAAAAAGAAGATAATTTAATCCAAACTTAAATAAATAAATTCAACGCACGTCTATAATAAATATCATAATAATAATAATAAAAATAATAATAATAATAATAATAATAATAATAATAATAATAATAATAATAATAATAATATGATAAGATAAAGAAAAGAAAATTAGCTAAGTAAAGATATGAAATTTCTAATCTATTTTTCAGAAGACGTTTTATATCATACATTTATATTTCAATTTAAAAATATCAATGAATCTCAAAACAAAAGATAAATCTAAATTTATTTTCTAGCTTTATAAATAAAAAAAAAAACTCACTTTTATCGTCAAATAATAAAATAGATAAAAAGTCAAAAAATAATATTTTTCATTATCAATACTATTTTATATAACACGAAAAGAAAAATAAACCTTCCTTTGATTCAAATCTTAATTAGTTGAATAAAATATTAGTATAAATATAATATAAGTCTCTAGTATAAATAAATAATCGTCGATGAAAAATTAGTCGTTCCCTTATCTGTATCTAGTATCAATGTCGTGTCACTCTTCAGACGAGAAAAGTGAAGTGAAATGAAGTGAAGTGGGGTTGGGGAAAGGGTCAGGAAATCGAAGACAAGAAGGGTAGTAGTCGAAAGGTTTCCACTTGAGAACCACGACAGACATCGGAGACGATGAGAGCAGAAGTGGACGATAAAGTATAGACGCATCAATAAGAAAGTGAGAAAACGAAAGAGAGAGAAAGAGAAAGAAAGAGATATATATGAGTGTGTATATATAAGACGAAGGTAAAGGTATTGGCTCTTTTCTCTTTCTCTTTTCCTCTCTTTCTCATTCCAGTTCGTTCACATCCTTCGTGCGGTCCAATCCCCTTACGTCACCAATTCGGTGCAATGGAAACCCGCATTTCTCCGACTAAAGCGCCTCGTGGCCGGTAATCTGATCTGATCCGAAGAGGACCGAACGAAAGGACGACGAACGTTGAACAAAAGCTTCGCCCGTAAGGGCGAAGTAGGGCAGAACAAACCCGGATAGACCGACATTGTTACACCAGCCGTCGTCTCTCCTCTTTCTCTCTCTCTCTCTCTTAGTTAGTCTATTCGTGTCCTTCTTTTTCTCACTCATTTTCTCTCTCTCTCTAGTTCTATTCGTTCTGAATTCTCTCTTTCCCTTTATGTTATGCTCTTTTATTTCTCACTCCTTTTATTTCCTTCTCTCTCTCTTTTTCATGTTTTTTATTTTCTCATTCGTTCTCTCTCTCTCTCTCTCTCTCTCTCTCTTCGATTTGACCTCATGTCGTTGGAATTTCTTTGATCGTTGACCCCACCGTCCAGTAGTTTCCTATCTCTCTCTCTCTCTCTCTCTCTCTCTCTCTCTCTCTCTCACTCTCTTCCTTTTCTAACCTCTTTACCTTCAGTCTGATGAGTACCACAAACCAATTCGACAACCATCTCTGCTTTCCAATTCAGCTTCTTTTAATAGTCACCATATCTTCAAATTATTATCTGATGCCAATAAAGAAATGTTTTTTCTATCTCTTTATAATCGAATTTTTCTTTTTTCTTTTTTATATTATATTATTTTAATATCTGTAAATAAATCGAAGTAGTAATATCAACGTAATATCTAACTTTATAAGATACATTTGATTTTTGAAATTATTACGAATAGATTAATCAAAATTGGTTATTTGCTCAGACTTATCGGTTAATTTAATATTTTTTTATAAATGACATTTTTCACATAATTAATAAGAATATTATCTCATATTTATTAAATATGGTTATACTATGTATAAGTACTAATACTACAAATTTTAATAAGCTTAAAATAAGTATGTATAAATATAACAATTGTTTGAAATGTTGGATATCTTATCCTTTGTGTTATTTCTTTATCTTTTTTAATAAAACTGGGGTTCGTGACTCTACAAAGAAAGCTCTTTTGTGTGGGTAACATTAATCAAGTCCCATGGATGATCAAAGAGATTAACGAATAAGACTACGAAATTAAATTAACAATCGTTTTGATGGTAAACGTAGAGAAGTTTCTATTGTCATTTTCAGACAATGAATAGAATCACTTATTTTAGACTGAACCCGTATTTCTGTAATTACGAAAATCTCAACGATGAATTGATCTATTCTCCTATTTCTTCTTCTTCTTCTTTAATCAATTAGACTAAATTTATTTTCAAATTTAACACCTAAACACAATGTTTCGATATACGCGTAATTATACTCAAATAAAAAATAAATTAGAAAAAAAAATTAATTGGAAAAAGAACAAAATAATATTCAGAATATCAGATTACCGTCTACTTGATAACAGTTCATTATACAATAATTAGAAGTGTGTTTGAAGAATATATCGGATAACCAGAGAGAGAAAAAGAGAGAAAGGGAGAGAGAGAGAGAAAAGTTACTCTTTCACTTTGTTTCTTCAAGAGATACAAATGAAAAAGGAAGCTTTTACGTCTTTTATCTCTCGTTGCTCTAAAAGTACTTCACGAAATAGAGAAATAGAGAGAGATAGAGAGAGAGAGAGAGAGAGAGATAGTGAAACTAAGGCTAAATCTGCCAACTCGTCGTGCTTATTTTTCTTCATCTTATTCTTTTTCTCCTTCACCCTCGTATGAGTATCTATCTGTGTGTGTGTACGTGTGCCATGCCAGAAATGAAACTGTACAAACAGGTACGTTAGACGCAAAGACGAATTCAACAAAACGATTTATCTAACCTCGTTTCGTGTCGCTAAAAGCATAAGTAGAAAAGCTGCTAGCTATTTCGGACTTTCGAATAATTTAAACAATATAGATATATTTTTATTTCGAGATAATGAAAAAAAAGGGAAAGAGAAAGAGAATAATACGAAAAATCTAACGAACAATTTAAAATATACATCGACGAAACCGTTCCACTTTTTTGCATTTATTAATTATTGAAGAAGATTAATTAGCTTTATTAACTTCTTTTATGTTTTTTCTTCAAGCAAACGAAACTACGCAGAAAATCTGATATTTTCTCATTGTATTAATTTTCTCTCTTTCTTTATGGCAGGAAAATTTAATCGTATTAGTTATTCCTCTTTCATGGAAAAGTGAAAGACAAGTATTTCTCCAATGATCCAGCTTTACTTTTAATAAGATTATTTCTAAGAAGATTTCATCTGTTTTACGATCGAACGACCAACGTGTCTTAATTTCGTATCATAGATAAGTATACCGAAGCTTATTACGTTCTTATGTTACAAAGCATTCTATTTATTCGGCATAAAATTCTTTTTTTTTCTTTGTTATACATTTTTGGTCAGTAATTTTTATATTAAAATATCAATATATTCGTCTTTAATGGTAATCTTGATAAAAAGGAGAATAAATATATATTTTTTTTTCATTTTTAATTTATATTTAATTAATTTCAACCTCTTATTTTATGGATTGTCAATAATAAAATTAGTTAATATATTGAAGAAAGATATTAAAATACGCTAAGAATTTATTTGTTATAAGATATTAATTGAATTATTATAAAAGTAATTAAATTGTTTTTATTTTAAATTTTATTGATTAATATACGCATCAATTACTAGATTTATTGCTTATTAATAAATTACCTACCTGAAAGCAAATTAAACAGGCTTTACATTAGCAGCGATAATAATATCATAATAATAGGTTTTTTGTTGATTTCGGTCGATTAAAAATCTGTTTAATATAAATGTTATTATTCAACATTTAATGTTGCATTATACTCTTTCTCTGTTTAATAAAATAAAAGCGAATTATTATTTACATCGAATAAAATATTCATGTAACTTGACGCAACCCTGACACCATTAATTTGGCAAAACATTCATCAAATAAATTAGAATTGTTTTTGTTGGACATTATTTTCTTTCATTTGTTTTTTTTATTTTTTTTTTGTTCTTTGAACGAGTTAAAGCATATCATACTATTAAAAAGCTCGCTCGGTTAGCCTTTTGATAAATTTTTTAAAGTATCTTTTCTTTCATGACTAATGGATGTTTATTATTTCATTATGAGAAGTTATATGAGTAAGAGAAGACTAATCGTATTACCAACGACGAAGAATAAAGAGCTTCCGAAGAATTTCAGAAAGTTCTGAGTAAGAGAATGCTTGAACTTTTGAGCTTTTCTCTCGATTTAGGAAATATTCGTGGCCGCTCTCGCACGATGGTAATTTTAATGTTTCGAGAAGAAAGGAAGCTTAGTTTTTTAACTGTGATGGAAAAGTTACCCTAATGTTTTTACATTTTTCATAGGATTTGTTTCCTTTTCTTTCCTTCTTTCTTTCTTTCTTTTAAGTCAAGAAAAAAATAGAGAGAGAGAGAGAGAGAAAAAAATTGCTTATTCTTATCTTCATTCATATTTTATCATTGTTTGCTATAACAAATATCAAAATAATCCTTAATCTTAAATTTTCATTGAGTTTAACATATTTCCATATTTCACATTAGCGAATGAGATTTTCTCTGATAGTATTAAAATGAAATTTTCAAAAATAATACTCTGCCAGTTCATCTTTGAGAAAAAACCTTTGTGCACAAATATGTATTCTAGATAAATTAATAATTCTTTAATATAAATACGTATGGTATATGTATTATATAATAGTAATAGGAACCTCGAGGGGAAAAAAAATGACAATCCTTCATTGCATATTTATAAAAATTTCATCAAGTTTGCATAAACGTAAATTTCTCAACTAAAATTCTTTGATGTCTGGGTTTATTAAAACGTAACGAAAAATATATGATATAATCCTTGGTATACATATTTTTTTCTATATGTATGGTGTATGTCCTCCGAAAGTATGTTTTTCCATGCCAAAAGAATTGCCTTTGAATTTAATTACGTTTCCTG